GAAACTGTGCTTTGGTGTCTTGCTCTGCACGTGCTAGATGCTGTACTTCAGGATGAATTCCTTGTGAGCGTGGCTGTCTGAGCTTCTCTGTCCACTTGACTGGCAAGCTTTGTTCTCAGGACTATTTTAGGTTATGGAAGCCGCAGAGTCCCCATCTGCCTGGTGCTTTTACTCACACACAACTCCTACGTAGTCTGTTTTCCTAGTAGCACCCCATTACACAGCTCGTGACCCTCCCAGTGTCCCCCAAAGTGTGTAGTTCCCCCAGTATTTACTCTCGAAAGTGCACATTCAAAGAGTGACATTCTGGGCACTTGGAAGTTTTAGTTATTAGGAACAACACTGCACACTCCTGTGTCCAGGGTTTTGCGTGGACATCAGTGTTGAGCTCCTTTAGGTGAGTACCAAGGAAGCATGGTTGCTGGGCCTTATGAGAAGCCATGTCTAGCTTTGTAAGATGTTACCCAGTGCTCTGCTGCAGGACTCGTGCTGTTTTGCAAACTTAGTCTGTCTTAAAGTATTCCTTTTGGATTTTAAAGCATCCTATTCTAGCTGGCTTGGGATATTGCTATGCAGAATGCTAAGGTGTGGGGTTGTGAAATGGATGAGCATGAGAAACAAGAGGCACTGCCAGGTAATTTCTGATGCCGCTTTCCTGGGAGAATCACAGCATTGTATGCTCTTAAGGAGAGCGCAAGCTGATTGCTGAAAAATGCTATGTGGAGTCAAGCTATTGCCTTGACTGCTGTGTCTGTCCTCCCTCGCCCCTCCCTCCCAACTCCCCCCCGGTTCCTGACTGTCATCGGGTGAATGTTCATGTCTTTCAAACTTCATATTGCCACATAATTCTGATGTCAGTACTGATAGCGGGGCCTGGGCGGTGGGTGCAGCACCTCAGTGGGCAGCGCGAGTGAGAACCCAGCCTCAAAGGCATCACTATGAGACCAGGGAACTGCCCTCTCTGCAGACCACATTCACGTGATAGGAAGTTCCTGCTGTACATAACCTCTGTGTCCTGTGGCATTGTCACATCCATGCAAACAGGGTGCTGCTAAGATATGAGATAGGTGCTGTTGGGCTTGGTACATCTGAGGATCGTTTCTCTCGAGCTGCCTGTCACTGCTATGAGAGTCTGCTGTGCTGTGTTTACAAAGATAGAATAGGGTTGAGACGAGTTTTCAAGAGCTGTTTCCTTTAGAAGGCGTTGAGACAGAAAGACTCTGCTTAAATTTTGGAGTATGTCAAAACCTCTGATTAAGTAAACCAGGTAGGCGTCTAAGATGGAAGCCTGCAGTAGAAGTGCCATTGGCCTATGGTCTGCTGGTCTCCCAGAGCATGCTGGTGCTGTCCGGCCTCTGCACTGGTAGTCTCCTAATGTTTCATTTCTTCACTTGGTAAATCAAAGCCCTGTTTAAATTGGAGCCGCTGTCTGCTGATGTTCCCCATGCTCAGTAGGAATATGACTATTGGTTGAGTAGATATGCTACTTTAGGCATATTACAGTTTGATTTTATTCACAGTAAATGCTTGTTGATGTTTCTGGCTTTGTGAAATCTCAGTTTATCTTCTATAAGGTTTCTTTCCCAACAATATTTAACTCATTGGCCCATATATGAGTGAGTGTCTGTGATTCATGTTATAACTTACCAAGTCATCATGCATTTCCATTCATATCAAACAGAAGTGGCAATACTCTTCTAGATCCTTCTGGATTCCTTCGTGATAACTTGGAGAAAGTCAGACAGTTTTGTAGGATAGGCACCAACACCACCACAGAAGAACAACAGGAGGTTTTAGTGTGTAAAGTGTAGGTAAGTGCACCAGGCCACCAGGGTGGCTGAGTCGGTACTGTAGGATAGAGGATCTGCCCCGGGCATGTCTTGTAACTTCCATTCATATCCCAAGGAAGAAGAGGGTGTTGTATTGGGTTTGTGTTTGTTTGTTTGCTTGCTTTTGTTTTGTCTTGTTTCATATTCAAGAATCAAGTAGAAACCACAGAGCCTCTGTATTTAAGTCTGAGACTGCGGTGTCTGAGCACTTTCTTTTGGGATGATTTTGGAGGTGGGGCCTTCCAGTGCTGGACGCTCTGTGCTGTGGCTGTCTGGAAAGATTGCTTCGATGCCCTTGCAGCTTCTACTCTACAAAGTTAGAACTTATTTCGCCAATTGCATAATTTTATAACTCTTTTATTTTTACATTTTCACATAAGTATATATATATAAATTTTTATTATACTTTTTTATTAAACTTGCACTACAGTTTTAAGAAGCAATATTTTATTTAAGCAAACTGTAACAAAACCCTCTTGGATGAGACTGGCTAGGATAGGTTCAGTTAATTTTTGTAATGTCTTTTACGGGGCTGTAAAGGCTCATCCCGTTAAGCAGAGCATCTGGGGGTAGCCACCACACATCAGCTCTTCCTCAGAGAGAAGCAAGGCTACACCACCGGCTCTGGCCTGTGGCCTTTGCAACCCACAGCTTGCACCTGCACACAGACATCCTTGGCCACCACTGCATTGCAAAGCCCTTCGGGTGACTAGATTCAGCCTGCTTTTGAACATTACCCTGAGCCAGCTTGTAGACATTTGTCAAAGAAAGATGTGTGTTTAAGACAGTCTGTGACTACTTTATCAGTGGTAGAATGTGTGAACCCACTGAATATATTTATACAAAAGAATTCTACTTAGTCAAAAAAATAAATCAATTACTGATACATGTGGTTGATTGTCTGACTTTATATAAGCATGTTGAGTTAAAATACTTCTCTGCTGTTCCTCGTCATCTTCCCATGAATCAGAAAGGGTGAATGGGAATGGGAGGTCATTCCTTCTAATTTTAGGAGTATCATGAAAAGCACAGGAATAAACAGGTGAAATCGAGTCTGCTACAGATGATTGCAGTGAGGGAGACCTTTTGTGGAGTATTAATTATGTAGATTTTTGTTGCTATAGGTAATTACGAGGCAGAACTGAAAGTTACAAACACAGTTATTAGATAGTTGCCCTTTCTGGTAATGACTTTATAAAGCTGTTGCAGAATTCATTAATACCTGAAAAGGGACCACCCTTGCTAAGACTCAGGTTACCCATTGGACAGGAGACAAGCGTGGGACAGCACAGCCTTCAGCTGTGGGGGTTCAGTGCTGCCCCAGCTCACATAAAGCAGATGTGTGCACAACCCAGGGAGGCTCACGATTACTGTTGCCTTGGATACTGTGAGTAAAATGCTCCTTCGATGTCAGTGTCAGTGAGCTTTGTCCAGACAAGGCCAGACTGTGTGCTCTGTACAGGTGGTGTGGTAAGAAGCATCACTCTGCTGCACTTTCTCAACATGGCTTTGCATTTTAGTGCACATATCCTGTTGGTGTTCTTTTTGGCCTCTGAGGAAGCTGGACTCCCTTGTTACCCACTGGTTTCCATTCAGTGGCTTTGCAAAGTTACTTGTGACTGATTGTTTTTGTTTTTCTAGAAATGTTATTTATTGAATTATGCTTATTAAACCTTTGTAAGCCTAAACTGATTAGTTTTCATCTCAAGAGAATTATACTTATCATTTTTTCATGTTTATGTATATGGTATTTATGTATATGTATGTTAGCAGGAGAATGGGCATGTGTTTGTGAATGTACATATATGTGTGTACATGTAGAGGCTAGAGATAGGTGTCAGATGTCTTTCTCTTTCACACTCTACTTCATATATGGAGACGAGGCCTCCCATTTGAGTGCAGAAGTTTCCTGCTGGGGTAGTCTAGCTAGCCAGCTTGCCTCAAGGATTCTCCTGCCCCTAGCTCCTGAGCAGTGGGGTCGCAGGTGTGTCCTCATACTCTCCAGCACTTACAGAAACACAGGCACTTCAAACTCAAATTCTCACACTTGCATGGCAAGCATTCTACTGATGCACCATCTTCCTGGCTTCATATTTATCATCTTTGAGTGCTTGCCTCAGGTGGGACCTTTGCATCTATTCTCAGATGGGGCTTTTGTCGTGCTAGGGATGGGACCAAGGACCTTGTACACTGTAGGCAAGCACTCTGCCATGGAGTTGTATCCCAGCCTTCTTTCTGGCTTTTAAGTATTGAACTTGGCATTTTCTTGCTTAGACCAGAGGCCTGGATTCCTGTGTGTAGTTGTCTGTGACCCTGTGCACGTCTGTCGGGTGAAAGCTATGTTTCTGTGTCTTCACTGCTTACACAGTCTACTCACTTGGCAGTCACCCATCCTTGACAGGTTCGTGTGGAACCAGTAACTTTTCACAATTGAATCATTGTCTGAATTGTAGTTAGAATAGGCTTGCCTTTCAGGAAAAACCATATTTTTACTGCTTTTCAAAAATGAGATGTGAAATAACATGTAATTAGAGAATAACAGATGACTTTACCCAGGACCCTGGTCACTCTGTTGAGGCTCTACAAGCAGGACAGAATTAGAAACCTCCGTTCCGATGACACACTTGTCAGTGATCAATGTGTGCAGCCCCGTGTGTATGGAATGGGATTGGGCTCTGCACACTTGTTGTTTCTTTGATTTCACATGTTCCATGTTAGAAACTGGTGAAATCTTAGAAAAGCTGTTCATCTCTCTGCCTTCCACAGGGCTTAGCTAGACACAGAGAACATGTGTCTACTCCACAGGTGCCCCTCAAGCCAACAATTTGTTTTTCTCATCTGAGCTCTGAGTGCTTCTGCTGCTGTGTGATAATTGATGTCTCTCTAAGTGGGACTCTGTGTACACATTTCATGCTACAATTGATTTGTCAGTGTGAGGTCGTACGTAAGCCAGAGTTTGAGCCGAATGCTTGGCTGAACCTGAGAGTCCAGCAGGGTCCTGAGCATGGCTTGAGACGTGCCAGCTCTGGTTTCCCGTACCTTCCACCCTCACTTTGCCAAAATGTTGATGTTTCCTTCAGTTCTCAATGTTACCTGGTACAGATGTTCTCTGCTTTCCTCGCTGGTAGATTTTCAGAGCCATAATCATAGCTCAGATGTCTTTCTTTGTAGCATCAAAGGCTCTTAGAAGTGCTGGACACTGAGAAGGAACTGTTAAGAGAAAAAATCCAGGAAGCTTTGACTCAGCAGTCACAGGAGCAGAAGGTAAGGCTTTGGTACCTGCCAGGCTGGGGAGGGAGCACTGCTGCTGCCTTCCCTGCCTGCATCCTCCCTGCTGTCTTCTCATTTATAGGAATCGCTGGGAAAGTGCCTACAGGAGGAAATGCAGAGGAACAAAGAGACACTGGAGTCCGCTGTGAAGGTACGTATGCCTATCCAGGCCGTGAGGATATGCCCAGCTGTAATGCTGGTGTTCTTTCTCAGTGGCATTGCATCCCATCTCACTGACAAAGTAACAGTGTCACTGAACAATGCTTCGTCCCGGAATTCCCCTTTTCTTCACTTTTTTTGACCTACAACATGACCATTGATATTCCTGTTGATTCATTTCTATGACAGGTCACCATTGAGAGCCTTTGCAACATAGATTATTAGTTACTTCTTTAAAACTATGTTAGGATACTGATACCCACCTCCAGTGCAGGGTAGATATCACCAGAGAGACAGGAAGACAGAAAAAGACAGATATGCTTGTGACTTGAAAGTAGCTTCAGAAACTATCACCTATGGTTTTTTAGTAGCATATGTAATCTCACTTTGTTGAGGGTGGTGATCCAAGAACTATTACGATTTTTGTCTTTTCCTTATGAAAGCTACAGTTGGATAAAAATCCAATACACACCAACAAGGCAATGAGTGAGTAAGTAAATTATCCTGACCATGTAAGTTATGTATCCGTATCCAAACGTTTTTCAGTAATAACTCACCTTAGAATTGAGCCTTGAGAAGTGGCGAGTCTTCGGAACTGAGTTGGGATCTGAGTGCGCAGCTAAGGAGGGTGTGGGGACTGTGTCACGTGTGTCGTTCTGGGAAAGAGGCCTTAGCTGCAGGGAACAGGAGGCCAACCCAGGAGAGCACTGGTAAGGGCATGTGAGCGTGAAGCGAGGGACAAATGAGTTGCCAGAGAGGAGCCGGAAACCAAAGTCACAAGTGTAGACGCCATTCTAAGGAGAATTCAACAAGTCTGTGAGGATACATGCCAAGTTCTAAGTGAGGAGAGTGGACCCAGGAAGAGGAGAAGGTGAAGCCATTTCCTTGAGTGGAGACTGGGGTGGACTGAGCAAAGATAAAAGTTGGGAAGTTCCCATTTGCTTCGCAGGACTTAGGGAGGTGGTGGTGGGATGGTTCCTGTGGATGAATCGGAAGAGCTGCTGTTAGGCTACACGGAGATGTGCAGAGTCCTGAAGACGTGCAGCCTGGTGATCAGTCATTTCCAAATTCCAACTGTTTTGAAATCATGCATCAGTTACGGGGGGTCTTTGAAAATTCAGGAAAACAATTGTGTTGTAACAGACCCGAAAGACATGTTTCAGTTTGCGTGTATTTCCCTCATCACAACTAATTTAAGACCCATGCTTTGATGCCTTCTGCTTTACACTAAGGCTTGATTTCTTTAAAGTGTAGTACCGTCAGGGAGGAAGGATGAAAATCTCTATCAAAATGATCGAATGCACTGTGCCTTTATTTAATACGCATAAAAAGTGTGATGTTGGGACTAACCGTGTGGGTTAAGTTTCGTGGCTGGAGTTTGGCCTTACTGTTAATGCTTCTGCTTCCATCCTTTTGTTTCAAAGCTTGAGAAAGAAGCGATGAAAGATGTCATCACTAAGGCAGTGGAGGAAGAAAGGGAGAATCTGGAGAAAGTCCACGCCGAAGAAAGGGAAATGTGGAAGACAGAACATGCAAGAGACCAAGAGAGGGTGGCAGAGGCCATCCAGGCCGCTGTGCAGGAGCAGCAGAGGATGAGCCAGGTGAGCAAGTCACCCAGAACCTGGTGCCCTGTAGCCCCATCCCAGAAGCCAGGTGCTCTGTAGTCCTATCTCTCACAGGGGAAGGCACTGGCTGTGACGTCCAACATGAGGTCACGGTACACAGGAGTTGGTTCACATCCCAGTGTTTCTATTCTGACCTATTCTCTTAAATAATTCAATAATTTTTATCTTTTCTCGTATTAAGAATCCTATGACATATTTTGCCTTTTGCCTCTATTTTGGCAGGATCAGAATCCATGTTGTTTCCATTTTATCATTCTGTGTTAAGCTTCCCCTCATTCATTTCTTCATTCTCTCCCCCCCTCCCACCTTTCACGCATACACACGTGCATGCGTGCAGAAACCAGTGTACACTCACACAGTGAATAACATATTTGGTTAGAAACAGTGAGATTCAGATAAATTGTGTCTGATTTATATACCTGTGCACCTTAGTAATACAGCAAGTTGGAGTCCAGCCTGGGCTACAAAGAACCCTGTCTCAAACAAAACAAAGCACAAGCAACAGAAAATGTGTCCCCTGCAAGTTGAGAATGAACTGAAGATTCTTAGAAATGTAGGGTTTGGGTAGAAGCTGTGTGAGTGGAAACGACTTTGTTTTCACTGGGCCGGGAGCTGTGGTCAGGGAGTGGCCATGAGTGAGCTGGCCTGTCAGATATGTGTGTGCAATCTTTGTAAACAGTTCTTATTTCCACATGTTGACTTGAGTATAGTCATCAGCTACCGCTACACTACTTAAAGCCCACACTCCTGCTCAAGGAAACTGAACACGGCATTTGTGGAAAGCTCTGTGAAGCTCATACCTCCCCTGGTTATTTATGATGATCGTTAAGTAGCCGAAATCAAACATGCACTCCACTCTGTTGTAGCAGTAATTGATGGGACTGTTTCTCCTTCATGCCTCTTCTATTTCTTTAGATACAGGAATAGAAAAACAGTAACCCAACCTTTCCAGCAGAGATGGCGAGGAAGCAAAGGCGTCACGTCAAGTGTTAGTCATGTCAGCTGCCATGTTTAGTGGTCACATCAAGTGGTCAACGGTCACTTGGCAGGAGAAAGTAAATCTGCAGAGGTGTGAGGAGCTTGCTGTGAACAGCAGAGTGTTTCAGAGGAGATCGAGCCAGAGACATGTTCGGTTTAGCTGGAACAGTGCTCTTATTAGAGAATAAACAGGTTAGGAGAACAGTAGAGCAGGCACAGTCAGGACCCCCCCCAGTCACTCCTGGAACTGATACATATTATCATCATGTGACAGTATATAGAGCCAGGCGGCCCTGTGCATATCCAGACTTCCAGTCTGTATTCTCTGGAAGGGGCCTAGGAAGTCTGGGAATTTATTAAAATTACACAAAAATGCACATTTGTGCAGATTCTTCTGCACAGGCAATTTATACTTTTATTAAATTCTTAAAAGAATTTTAATTAGAAACTTTAAAAAAATATTGAAATTGGCTTCCCACTGTCTTCTGAACTTTCTGTGTAAAATTTAGTACAAATTGATTAAATACTTAAATTATAAATTATATATATCTAAAAAGGAATTAGGTAAATATTAACATTCTTTGAAAAGAAGACCCTAAGCAGGCCTGTTAGAGTGGTGGATTAAGTGTAACTATGATAGCTTCGTAAAAGTAGGAAAACTTTAGCAAAAATTATCAAAATCATATTTTTCCAAATTTTTTTAACCATCAACTTTATTCATAAATGGTTAACTATTACTAAGCTAGCTTCATAAAATTTCAACCCTTTCTCTCCTCATTCCCATCTCCCTAGCTGCAAGTTTGGACAGGGCATTAAATATGAAAACCCAGTCCAGGGCCCACTGAAGAGATGCAGTGTTTACAGCCTCGCAGACACTTGCTTCATGCCTGTGGATTATTTCTGTTACTGGCTCTGTAGCTTCTTGGGAAACCTGCTGTTTGTCTCTGTTGTTCAACGTAGTATTTTTATTAATTCTTTGAGAATTTCATTCATGAATACCCTATGTTTTGGTCATAATCCCACTCCTGCCCTCCCCACTGCCCCAGTGGAGCTCTGTGTCTAAGAGGTTTGTCAGTGACAGGAAATAGTGATCTTATCGTCTCCGCTACAGAAACACCTGTCGGGGCAAAGCAGGGGCTGGGGAAAACTTAAAAGGAAGGATCTAGGGAAAAAACTCATTTTTCCATAAGTGGCTTGGAGAAGCTCTGCCTTCTTGAGGCTCGCTCACATCCTGAGAAGGTCCCGTGGCTTACCCACTTGCCTGGCTAAGATTCAGAAAGTAAAGACTTAGATACAGAATTATAACGACTGTGTCCAGGTTGCCCAGCAACAGAACGTTCCAGAAAAGGGTGGAAAACTCAGTGGCTCGAGAGAGTAAGGAAATCTATGTTCTCTAGCCACAGCAGACTAAAGTTCAGTGGTTCAAGAGAGTAAGAAAGCCTGTGCCCCTCCCCCAGCAGCCCACTGATAATCTAAAGCACTATAAGGTACTTTAGTAATGAAAGGAGGAATACTGCAGGCTTTGCAGAATTAATCCCTGGAAGTTACCTCACGGGACATCCCAAACAAACAAACCATATTTTAGCAGTCACATGACAGGGAGTTTATTCAGGGGGTCAGAAAAGATCTGTTTCTGAGGCTGTTTTGGATTATCTTTAAATGCGCGTTGTTTAGAAACTAAATATAAAATTCAAAGAAAGAGGAAAATATAGTCCATACATAGTCAGACAATTAGTAAGTAATCCCTAGTAATGGCTTAAAAGACGTAAGACTTTACTCTGCACCACAAGGAGGAGATGGTTTTCTGAATCTGTAAGCTGATGTCTTCTGTATCACGCATGCCTGGGCCCCTCTAAAATCACAGTTCTTTCAAAGGCTGCTTGTGAACTTTGAGAATGGTGCCTTCTGCTCTCAATACTCAGAGCCTGTGTGCCGCAGCTAAGCCGGACTCCCCCGCTGCACCCGTGAGTGCTGACACCCAGATTGTGTGTCCCCACCTTACTTTCTCTCACAACCTATATTGATTCCTGCGTTTACTCAGTTGACCGACCTTTCTTGAGAGCTTTATATCTGACCTCTGCCCACCCCTGTATCTCTTAGGAGGTTCAAGAAGTGTCTAGTCACCAAATGTGTTCCAGAAAAAGTCATGTCCTAAGACAAGCCAGGAACTGACGTTTCCTGTAGTTAACCCTATGTGAGTGGCTGTCTGACCTCATGGATCCTGTGTGATCATCCACAGTACCATTGGGTGGGGTGGGTGGGTGGGTGGTTGGTTGGTTGGTTGGTTGACAGTATCAGGTATCACATAGAGATCTCATGTAGAAATTTTTGTGTGTCTTATGCCGCAGCCATTCACTGGCACAGACGTGTCCTTAAAACCAATCAGTGTCCCCAGGTTTCTGCTGTTCACAGCTAGATCTGTTTCTTCAATTCTGCCGTAGCTCTTGCTGTAGTCTCCTGTTGAGTCACTAGGCTTTACCTGCTAGCCAGGCCTTTCTTTGGGTGTATGTAGACCTGGGAGCTGCCTTAGAGGTGATTTTGAGATTCATCTATGCTGATTGTTCTATAACTAGCTGACCATGCTTCCGACAGCACCTGTACACAGTTCCTGTTCCTTGGCCTGTCTTCCTACAATACCCATCCTCGAAGGGTGAGGTGGGGCCTCCTAGGAGTCAGGAGTATGGCTCATCTTTCACAGACCTGTCACCCATTTCCATGGATGGTTGACTATCACATAAATCAACTATTTCCATTTCAGTAGAATGGGTCTCAGGTTTATTGTGTCCCTCTCTCTGGGACCCGGTTCTGTGTTTATTTTTCTTGATGTTTTGACTCTGTGTTTGTGCATTAGCAAAACCAGCTACTTCCCCCGTTCTTCCTCAGAAATAAGCAGGGTCTCTGAGAACCTCCATGATGCATATCCTTTCAGCTCTAGCTGTCTGGCCTGTGGCGTCTCACTTTATTGCCTCCCCTGGGGCCCCAGTAGAGTAGAGGCTAGCCCCACAGGCATCCCTGTGAAGGGGAAGCTTTAATGTAACTCTTCTGCTCCCTGGAAGAAACCATGAGGTTCTATCACTGGGCAGAGCTGGACAGCTCATGTGCTCATGTGATGCTCTTTGATCTTACCCATTTCAGAGCACCCTTCGTCCTGTCCTGTGTTATCACGGGTGAGACAGAGCCCAGTGCCATGAGCACCCAGTGCCATGAGCACCCACAAAGAGATCAGTGGGAGAGTCCACCAACTCTCCCCTCAGCAGAGTTTTGTTTTTGTTTTGTTTTGTCCAGGGAGCTCTGATGTGTCTGGGTCTGGGCTCACACAGGGAATGTCTAAGTGTCTGGCTTCCCATGAGGGGTGTGTCTATTCCTGTGGCTGGCTATTCTGTGTGTTCATAGGAAGAGGTCACCAAAGCTTCCTTCTTTACTCTTGCTGGCATCATCTTATGTGACCATAGTTGGATTTTTTTCCCCTCAAATTCTCAATATAAAGGAAAAAGTAAATAATAAATTGAGATCAAAGTCGCCTTCACTGACAGCGGCAGGAGGACACCAGGACACTCCGTGGCTAGAAATGGAGTCAGTGAGCTTTGAGGATGTGGCTGTGAAGTTCACGCAGGAGGAGTGGGCTGTGCTGGACCCATCCCAGAGGATGCTGTACAAAGATGTCATGCAGGAAACCCTGAGGAACCTGGCCTCTCTAGGAAACAAGTCGGGCAAACATAAGGTTGTAAATGAGTATGAAAAACTGTGGAGAAAACTAAGCAGCCAACTGGTGGAGAAATTCTGTGACTATAATGAAAGTCATCAGTATCCAGAAATCTTCAGCTGCAATCCAGGGCAGTCTGCGAGCCGGAAATCTTGTCCAGGACTTGCTACATTTGAAAAGAATGTCCGTGTAGAAGGTAGAATTGGCCACTCATCTCCGGGTGTGCTCCTGAACCATCAGGTAGGACCTTGTGAAGACCAGGAACATGGACAGACGTTGTATAAACACAAGGAGTTTGGGAGAAGCTCCAGTTCTCCTTCACCCCTTCAGATGCATAAAAGCACTCACACTGGAGAGAAACCTTCTAAAAATAAGGACTATAAAGAAGACCTTCCATGTGTCAGATCTGGCCAAATGTATGAACAAAATGACTGTTCAAAGAAGTCTTATGTGCACAAGCCATGTGGGAAAGGCTTCACGTATCCCAGTCCTTTACCAAGGCATGAGAAGAGTCACAGTGTTAAGAAGCCCTACGTGTGTGAACTGTGTGGGAAAGGCTTTGCTCGGTTTGGTAACCTTTTAAGGCATCAGAGAACTGACACGGGTGAGAATCCTTTTCTGCCTGATCATTATGCAAAAACTCTTCCTCGTTCTGCTTGCCTTAGAAGAAGAATGAGTATTCACAATGGTGAGAAACCCTATGTGTGTGACCAGTGTGGGAAAACTTTTCTTGATTCTACTTACTTTCGAATACATAGAAGGATTCACACTGGTGTGAAACCCTACGTGTGTAAGCAATGTGGGAAGGCCTTCACTGCTTCTCGGTACCTCAAATCACATGAACTGACTCACACTCGGGAAAAGTCTTATGCTTGTGAGCAGTGTGGGAGCGCCTTCACGTTTTGGTATCAATTTCAGAAGCACAAAGTAACTCACAGTGGTGTGAATCCTTACATTTGTAAGCAATGTGGGAAAGGCTTTACTTACTCCAGTTCCCTAAAAACTCATGAAAGAATTCACACTGGTCAGAAGCCCTATGTGTGTAAGCACTGTGGGAAAACCTTTGGTAGTTCCGGTAACCTTAAAAGACACGGAAGTATTCACACTGGTGAGAGACTCTACGTATGCAAGCAGTGTGGGAAGTCATTCAATAATCACAGTTCCTTTCAGTTCCACAATCGAATGCATACTGGAGAGAACCCCTACAAGTGTAAGCAGTGTGGGAAGGATTTAGCTTCTTCTTCCTCCCTTCAGAGCCACGAAAGGAATCACTCTGGAGAGAAGCCTTATGCGTGTTTGCAGTGTGGGAAAGCTTTCAGTTCTGACAGCTCTCTTCGGAAACATAAAATAATGCATAGTGAAGAAAAACCCTATGTATGTAAGCACTGCGGGAAGTCTTTTCGCCGCTTTTTTGAGGTTCGGGTGCATGAACGAATCCACAGTAGCGAGAGACCCTATGAATGCGAGACATGTGGAAGAGGCTTTTTGAGTTCAACTCATTTGCGAAGACATGTACCTATTCATAGTAGAACAGATAAGAATGTTAGTAAATGACATGAGATACTGTCTGCTAGCTCTCACAAAGTCAGACAACATGATTAGATTACGCTAGCAATGTGGGGAAATAACAAACAAACTCCAGAGAAGGCATCCTTTTGAATTGGTGTAGATATTACTACTAAAAATTCTCTTCTAATATACATGGAAGCAGACACTGGAGAAAAGCTGCAAGCCACGTGATAAAGTCTTCAGAGCTCTTTTCATTGTGGAGAAGATGTGAAATCGCTCACACTGGAGAGAAAGCTTATGCCTGCCATGTGGAAAGCCTTTAGTTCTTAGGGGCCTTTCCAGAGACATTGTAGTCGTCATTTGGAGAGAAAACCTTCGTATATAATGTGGCAATTTGAATAAGAATGCTCCAAATATGCTTATATATTTGAATGTTTAATTACCAGGGAGTGGAACTGTTTTGAAAGGCTTATAAGAATTAGAAGGTGTGATCCTTTTTGGAGTAGATGTGAACTTTTTTGAGTTGTGATTGAGGTTTCTGAAGCCCATGCCAGATGCAGTCACTTGGATCTCTGTGTGTGTGGATCAGGATGTAGTTCTCAGCTACTGCTTAAGCCCCCAGACATGGTGCTCATGGTCTCCGTCGCTGAAACTGTAAGCAAGCTCCCAATTAAATGCTTTGTCTTATAAAAAAAAAATAATAATAATAAATTGATCTGGTAAAATAACTAAAAGAAATGTTTATTATAGGTATAAAGTACCAGCTATAAGAAAAATAGACATTTAGACAATGGCATGCAGTACCTGACACTGAAGAATAGATTTTCTGGAAGATTCTCCTTGTGACCTCTTTGTATGAGCCCAGAGTTTTATTGTTGTTTTAGAGACAAGTTTTCATGCAGAGAGCTGGAATCACACCCACTGACTAGCTAAGGATGGCCTTGAGCCTCTGCTCCTCCTGATCCTGAGTGCTGGGATTCCAGGCACATCTGCCACACTGGCTTTATCCCAAATTTTTAAATAAATTCGTAGGCATCACATTATGAATTAATTGCACTCCCAAAGAAAACTAGTTGAAAACAAAAGCAATGAGTTATTATAAACTGCTCTAAAATTTTTCCTAGGAGTTTAATTAATTTTTCTAAGTGAGTTATGTGGTTAGGCCAGAAACATAATTTATAAATAGACTTCCCCTTGGTTTATTAGTGATAGGAATCTCAAATCTTCCCCTTGCTTTCTGTTCCTACCCTGGAGCACTGTAGCTGTGTCTTTCAGATTTATAAGTAATGTCCTTGTTCTCCTTAGGAAAGTCCCTCAAATATGAAGTATCACTAAACTTGATGAGAAATTGTTGTATCTCACAGCACGGAGAACAGTGGTGCTCTTCATGTTCTGGATCATTTGGTTAGTTTTATTCTCTGTGATTTTATAGGCTACTCTAGACAAAGCAGCCACTGTAAGGATTTGGAGGAGGAGTAGAGGGATGGCTTCCTGTAGGAAGTTGAAGTCTTGTGAGGAGCTGGCTGTGGTTGTCCTGACGTGATCAGTGACTGGATCTTCACCTCCAGTGAGCTGAGCGGCAGCTATTTTCTGGTCAGTTGCTGCTGTGTCTGATTTGACTAGTGAGGCAGGTACTGCCATCGCCCCCATGTGTGCTCCTTATGGGGGCTCCTGTCTGTGCATGCGGAAGCTAGGGATCAGCCATCTTATTTCTTAGTTTTTCTCCCCACTCCACTTCAAGATGGACTGTTTCTCTGGAATCTGGGATCCCTGATTAGGCCTGGGGTGACTGTGTGGTAACTGCCCAGAGACATCTGTCTGTCCCCACATGCTGCGATTAAAGCATGCCTTACTGTGCTCAGATCTTTCCTTGGGTTCTGCAGATGGAACCTCTGTAAATTTTACATCCTCAGGCTTACTGAGCTGTCACTCCAGCCCTGCCCTGCCTTTACCACCATGAAGACACAGAGGTTCTATAGCTCGTCACAGTGGGCACCTGATCTTGTCAGGCTCAGGCCGCCTGACTCCAGAGGCCTTGTAGTTTGCCACCACCACCCCACTTCTCTACCCCAAGGTTCTTGTCTTAGTATAAAATGCACATTCATCTTAGATAGAAATAGATAACTGTACAAGAAAGCCCTTAGTTGGACCCTGGCCTCACACTGCTTGCCAATCCTGGTGTTATTGCTGAGCACAAAACCGACCACATGTTGTCACTTGTAAAGTAGGTTTGGGTACACAGAGCTGAGCACAGTAGGCAAGTCCATTGGACCTTGTGAAGTGTAAGCTCAGTTGAGAAGGAACCGTGGTAAACAAGCTGAGTTTAATGTGGTGTTGTGAACTTTGAAGGGTCAGAAAAGCATTGCAACTGCATGTCTGACAGAGTCACTGGTGGAGAGGTCCGTGGATACAGGAAGGAAGCCAGCACTGGGGAATTAATATACATGCTCTATGGCGCCACTCAGAAAATCCTGAAGAGAGAGCTGTAACAGGGGTTAAACAGTGGTTGCCAGGGCTGTAGGAGCTCCAGTCAGGTGATAATTAAACTGAATTGTGGTCATGGTTACATTTGGCCAGACCTGTCAATCATTAGAGCCATTTCCTAGAATACTGTGGTCTTAAGAACATTCCTACTACAATAGAATTTTGAGAAACCATCAAGTTTTGTTGCAATTAAGAATCTGCTTTGAATTAGTATGTGATGCCTGTTGATAACCTATAGATGATCCTAGAGAAGAGGTCAGACAGCTGGAGACACAGACTTATCACATCGCACTCTCAAGACACCCGTGCACCCATAGCTATTGACTGTGGAGTTGACCTTGGTGTCCATCAGCTGATGATGGAAATGTGTGGGAAACACAGCAGCATTTTACTCAGCTGCACAGATGAGATTAGCAGGAGGACAGACGGATCTGGAAAGTAGTGTATTAACCGAGGAGACCCAAACTCAGACCAGACCAAGCCAGACCCCAACATGCACGCTCTCGCATTCCTGATTGTGTGGATCCTAGATCATTTGGTTACTTCGAAGATGTGTGATGGACAGGGGGAAGAGTGGGCAGAGGTGACATGAGGGTAAAAAGCTGTCAAGAGGACTGAGGGAAGAGCAGGAAGCTGGGGGGAGGGGAGTGGGCTGCGCAGAGGAAAGGTGGGCACAAGTGGATAGGGAAGGAGAAACTAAAACAAGTTCTGCTTGGAATTGTACCTTTGAGATGGCAAAGACTCATTGATTATTCTAGTTTTAAACTTTTTAATGAAATTTTTAATTCTTGAAAGAAATAGTGGTCTGAAGTCGGGTGCCTCTTTAGGGTACTGTGGAGTGGATAGGATACAGATGCTGTTTACCTTCTGGACAGGCCTCTGACCCTCATTTTATGGAGTGCTGTCATCTTCTTTTTTTTTTTTTCATTCATGTTTATTTTCCATATCTTCCTCACTCCATTTTTTTTTTTATTTCTGAGAACATGCTCTCTTAGACTCAAATACCAAATAACATAACTAGGTGGGGAATTACAAGTTTCTGATGAAAGAAAGAAGGGTGGGAAAGAAAAAAGCCAGGATAACCAAGCATCTCTCATTTGGTTGACGGCATTTGTGACAATGTGTTTGACAGGTCTAAAGGGCCTCTTTTCTTTTTGGATTAAGTCCTACTTGCCATCCTCTACCATGGTATTGCATTTTACAAGACAATCACAGCTATTACCTATAGAAAACCACATCTCTCTCATTCAATTCCAACATAGTATACAGAGAAATATTACATATATTGTTATAATAGCCAGTGTTACATAGCGAATGACGAGTGTTGTCATCTCCTAAGTATAAATAACAGTTTGCTTCAGATTGTCTGTGGTAGTGGAGGGGACTGTGACCACACACTTGGATTCTCACAGGATGACAGACAGTAAGTAGACCATGTTGGGATGCAGAGCTACACTCATCCTGATGGATGCTCAGAGCTTCCTGTGTACACAGCTGGGCAACAGAGGCCAGTGCTGGTTCTGTCAGCCGCTTTAGCAGTACCAGACAGTATGGGGGGCCCCAGAGACTGGCCTTAAGCTCTATGGCCCAGCCATTCAGAGAAATAGACCTGAAAGTGACCCATGTTGATAGGAATTAACACCACCTCTTGGCTGCTAGTCCAGCAGAAATGAGAGAAGGATCAAAGATGGCAGAATCAGCCTCAGGTAAGCAAGCCGGAGTGCTTGACCTGAGAAGGGAAGTACGAGAAGCAGCCTGTCCAGTTTGCCTGTTGAGCACTGTGTGCTCATGGTGGCTTCAACTGGGGAGACAGGAGCACACAAGCAGGAAACACACCTACCATTGTGTCAGGGTTATCACAGAGTGTATCCTTAGAGATATCAAAGGGAAGATTTGTAACTCAGGCTTATTTCCATGTTAAGTTAATTTAAAATCCTTTCTGAAGGAGGGGAAGTGTGTTTGTAACAGATACCAGGGCACACAGAAGACAGTGCTGTTAACTTTGGTGTTGTTGCAGAACAGTGTAAGGGTCCTGTGTACTTAGACCCTGAAGCCCCATCTGACACTGTTTCATAATGGCTCATAACCAAGCACAGGCACTATAATTTGGGCCTGTGTTTTCTCAGAAGCCACAGGTATTATAATCAGGGCCTAAATTTTCTTGAAGAAATTGAACATTGCTACTTAACCAATCTTAAGAAGGAAATGATACTCCTGTCCAAGCTTCCCAAGCAAGATACTTCCCCAGCCCCAAACCTCTGCTGTACCGCTATCTTGGGTTTTGATTCATTCATTTATTTTATAGTTTTTACTGAAGTATTTCATAGGAACTTCATTTGTAACAGACAAAGTTCAGTGACATTCTTAATTGTCAAGAGTATAGCATCCAGAAGGAAACCTCAGCCTCTTCCACCTCTATGGCAGCTGCCTATCTTATTCAAAGAGAAAACCATGTCTAACCTTATGCATCTAGGTTAGGATTCATCCCAGATTGCCCGTCTGCCATCCCCGTGCCCACTGCCTCTTTGATCATTACAGACTTGACATTGTGCCTGAAAAGCAACCCATTGAAAATGTAAGCTCCTTGTTTGGTTTGGTAGTGCTCACCTGTGGTCCCAGCACTTGGGAAGTGGAAGCAGGAGGGTGGGGGTTCAAAGCCATCCTCTCAAAAATCAAGAGCAAAATAAACAATAAGTGAATCAATAAGAATAGAATATTACTCTATACATATTGTTCC